GGGTGGGGTGGGGTGGGGTGGGGTCGGGTAGGTAGGTAGGTAGGTAGGTAGGTAGGTAGGTAGGTAGGTAGATAGATAGATAAGTAGATAGGAAGGTAAATAGCAAGATCGATAGATAAGTAGATAGACCGACACAATTTAAAATAGATAGATCGATAGATAAATGATGAATTGTATGTGTGTGTGTGTATATCTATGTGTTTGTGTGCATGTATAGACAGATAGATGGATATATAGATAGACAGACAAAGAGATAGATAAACAGATAGATAGATAGATATGTACATATTTAGATATATACATATACACTGCAGAAACCGAAGCTGACCTGCACCAGTGCATCTCGTTGGTGGAAGGCAACCAGCTCACCCTCTTGGAAGGTAAAGGCCTCAGCTTGGCAAAGGCCTGAGGACCACTCAGCAGCCGATGGCGCATCAGAGCAGCTTTAGCCTGTCTCTTCATTTTGCGTTCCAGGCACTGCACGTCCGGTGTCCCGCCCGTCTCACCGACATCCTCAGGTGTAGCGACAAGCAAACTCAGACAGCAGTGCTTGAGGATGCGTGCGCTGACGTCATGCATAGGCATCAGCCCGTGCCCCTGGCCTTCCGCGGCAAATCAGGACTGTGGTGGGCGGAATGGCTGAGCAGACTGGAAGTTCCTCCCATTCCGACACCTGACACTTGGCTGAGCTCGAGCAACGTGGCAAGAACATGGGTTGACGTCCTGCGAAGGATGGTGACCGCGACGACCTCGTTCCCGTGACATAGGGCCGAACACCTGGTGCTCAGCTGGAGCATTAGAGTACGAGCTTCAAAAATTCAGTCTGGCTGTCGAGCAGTTAACATGCTTGAAATCTTGAAAGGCTGGTATGGTGATCTCCAGACATGCACCGCAAATCTCCAGGATTCTGCAGACTCCGCATCTTCGAGAAACGGAATCTAGGAATGTCGAGTCTAGGATCTACAGCCACCGCCTTGAGCATCGGATCTTCGCAGCAAGGCCTGCATCCGAATGTAGGCCTGGCACGGGGCCGGGGACCACAAGCTCCGAGGAAGGCGCAGCTTGGCTCAGCATGCCTGCTTTTGGAGCCTCTCGTGGCGTCTTGCCCATTCCTCCAAACCTCGCGCCAGGACGTAAGCACGTCAAGCATGCATGACCCTCGTCAAGGCAGCTCCATAAAAAACTAAGCAAGGCACTGTTTTGCTGCGCTGCAGCATGTCTTCTAAGGGAGGTCCTTAGCCACTGGCATCACATTCTGAATCCGGGCAGCAGTTGGCCACAAAGTCGCAAGACAGTATCGTCATCGGTGAACCAGTAACAACACCCTTCTCTTTCCATGCGTGGCGCTTGAGAGAAGCTGGAAGCGATGTGAGCACTTCGCCAGAATCAGCGACAGCAGCTGTTGACATCCTTGGCTGCTTTGTTTTCTTCAAGCTGCACCTGGTGCCAACACACACACGCACACACACACACACACACCCCTACTTGCGGCGGTGCACCACTACTATCATTACTTAAAATACCTTTCCTTCCATAACAACTACACATACAACTACAAGCTACGAGATACTACAAGTAGTACTTTCAGATCCCGTGCTGAGAGTGTCGTATTGGTCGTTCCCTGCCCGACCACCAGCAGCTCCAGGTCCTCGGAGGACACATCCTCGACCTGGGGATAAAAGGGGGGCCCCTCTCCACTTTGCATAAGGCAACGAACTTAACTGCGATGTCTACGGAGAAGAGTTAAGCTTAAGTTGAGTTATAAGATCTGCATTATCCCAACAGCCTCGCTGTGAGCTCTGTTGCCTTGATCGCCCCGCGCTCCTTAGATGCGACAGCTGCTGCGCACATGTACAGACCATCAAGGAAGGCTGACACATCAACTAAGCAAGTAATGCTATTTTCGGGGTCAGCGTGACGTTTGCACACTGCAGGTATTTGCCCTTGCTGTGTAAGCAATTCATAGCCGCTAAAGCCACAGGAGTTGCGCTTATGTCAGCTGCGATCTCCCAAGCAGAGTCCGGCGCCTTTAGGCGCAGGCTCCTTTCAGGTTTTGGCTTTCGGCTCAGTAGGAGGCTACGTAGCCGCCAGGTGGAGAGCTGTCGGCCTTCACTGAGACTGAGACACTCTTCACCAAGCCACGCGGGGCATCGACGGCGTTGCCTTTGAGGATCCCCATCATGTAGGCCAACAACTGCAGCGGGAGCATGGCAAGCAACGGCATGAGGTACTCATGTGTCTCCGGCACTCCAATGACGTACTCACAGAGCTTTTCCAGCTCATGGTTGTGCTTCTCGGTAATCGCAATTGTGGCACCATTTCGAGCTCGAACTTCTTCGATGTTGGACTTTATTTTCTCGTAGGTGGCATCTGCTTTTGGACAAATCACCACAACTGGCATAAATTCGTCTATGAGGGCAATCGGGCCATGCTTCATCTCTGCGGCAGGGTAACCTTCTGCATGTATGTAAGCCAACTCTTTGCATTTCATGGCTCCCTCCAGTGCGATTGGGAAGTTGAAGCCGCGTCCCAAGAAGATAAAGTTTCTTGCCAGAACATTTTGACAGCCAATGTCCCATAACGGGCACTCGCCGATCTCAATGGAGCGATCGCCAACTTCGGTGACTAGCGGCTTGGCCTCCTTGTCTAAAACCTCCTGCATGCTGTCCGGCAGCTCCTGCAATCTTTGAACCAAGCTCTCCCTCTCCGCGCCAATCTGGCCGCATTCGTCTGCAAGGGCAAGGCTGAGGAGCACAAACATCATGTTGGTTGCTGAGAACGTTTTCGTTGATGCGACGCCCACCCCCTGGCCAGCACACACATCCAGAACAAAGTCGCACTCTCTGGCTAGTGTGGAGTCCAACTGGTTCACAATGGCGATAGTGAGAACACCAGTGCCACTGGGACTGTTCCTCACACGGCGAAGTGCCTCCACCGCATCGGTTGTCTCCCCTGACATTGACACAACCACTAGGACGTCGCCCGTTCGCAACGTTGGCTCGCGATACCTGAACTCCGACGCATACTGGGATTCAACAGGAATTCGCGCCATTGTCTCGATTAGGTACTCCGCCAGAATCGCGGCATGCCATGAGGTTCCGGAGCCAATCACGGTGAGCCTATGGCAGAAGCCCTTCTCGGACATCCGGCTCTGAGAGCACGCTGCGAGGATCTCCAGCGGACTCTTCCCTGCAAGGCCGTGGGCCTCAGGCAGCGGCTTTCGAAGTCCGGGAATGTCGACCTTGCCATCTTTCAGATGTGCCTGAATTAGCTGGCGCAGCACACGTGGGGTCTCCCAAATGTCACTTAGCATGCCCTGGGCCGATATCCGGTCTGCAATTTGCAGAGGTGCCTGCATAGATCCAGCTCTCTCTGCCTTCTCTTCAGATGCCATAGCAGGCCAGCGGCCACTAGAATAGACTTCAACGCTCCTTTGAGCCGACTCGGGAGATGATAAAACCCCTACTGCCATTGGTCTATTAAAAGGAGCCTGGAAAAGCCAGGCCAAGTCACCCGTGTCTGCCGCGGGGGGCAGGTTCAGCGACTCCCGTACGAGCTGCTCAAGAAGGATCTGCTCCTGTTGGCATCAGAAAGTTCCCCGACATGAGTGTCTTCTTTCAACCACACATGGACTTCTGCATAGGCTGCGGAGGGTTTTCGGGGAAGCCTCGGCCGCTCGTGTCTCCTGTTCCGCGATCCATTTCCTTGGCGACCAGTCGTCAACGCCAGTTCGTAGGCGGCACTGTACTTCCGAAGTCACGATAGTGAAGCTAAGGGTCGAAATGTGCTCCGTCTGGCTGGCCTGGCATCAACAGACTGTGAGTACACGAGCTGGCAAGGCCAGGCGACGCGATTGGCTGACTCTCCCATGCGCGTTGCACCTGGTACTCCTGGAAGGTCTCAAAAAGCTGGTGTGCAACTTGGTCCGGCGCCACCTCATGCGCCCATGCTGGCGACACGATCAAGGTTCATTGCAGCAATGTGTGCTAGACCGTTAACATAATAGCATCGACAACCGTGGCCAGAATGACCGCTGTGACAACGGCAGGGCTGACGACGATGCATAACGACGACGAAAACATCGCAAAACGGAAGACGATGCGACAAAACGGCAAGACATGAGCAGAAAAACGATAAGGTTTGCTACTAAGAGGTTGGACAACATTTAACAACAACGTGTGTGGCAGTGGCATTGAGGTTGCTGTTCTTTGCCCTTCGAACTTCCTATGGCATTCAGTGTAGCACCCAGGATTAACAGCCTTTTGCCATCGCAAGAATTGAGCTGAGCAATGTCGTTGGGAGGCTCTCATATTTACAGGCACGGTAGATCCCATCTCAAACCACAATGTTTCATTCCAAAGTTGCAATAATCTACATCGCAGTACTACTATCTGCTCTTGCTCGAGTCCACTCCTGTGCTTTGCTGGCCAAGGCACGCTTCCAGGCAATTGCACAGGCCATACCTTCTCAACACCATGCAGACTCAGACCAGGGAGTCTTACGGTAGGAGAGGACCGACTACAATGCAACACCAAACCCAGCAATCTCACAGCAGCTACTGTTTGGGCCAAGCCGCGCTATCCTGTGACCAAGCCTGTCCCTGCGAAGGCCGGCCTTGACGTGTTGACTGGAAGAGAATAAAGGTGCCACTCGTGGTGAAAGTACTAATCCAGCGGCTGTGAGAGTAGCAGTGGGAGTTGGGGTGACAACTGCATTGGGCATATGATAAACGAGAATCAAAGGGGACTTCTTGGTGGTGGCAGTGTGGTAGAAAGCATGAACATATGGCTACACGACAAGAACGACAACAAGCATGCGCGACTTCACTGTCCCACACCCCTGCAATTGCTGTCGGGCGGCAGGGTGCTGCCGCAGCCACCCAGGCCATTGTGTTGGCAACATTTGAGCCATGACAACTACGCTGCAGAGACAAACGAAGATCACAAGAAGTCTGAATCCGCTGTGCTGACTACGCTGGCTGTGCACCCAGGCTTTCCACAGTGCCTGCATCCTCACATGCTAATGACCCTCGATATGGGATGAGCCTCGAAGAGCTCTGCTGTCTCGCCCTTGGCACCACAAACGGCTTGGGGCTGATGCCTGAATCCGCGGTCCCGACATCCCCGGCTTCGATCCGGGCTTTGCTTGCAAGGACGCTGGCAGCCTGCATGGCAAAGGGAGGTTCTACGACCTTACGATGAAACACGCTCGCATCAGCATCAGAGCAAAAAGCCAGGCGGGCCTTTGGTGTCTCTCCGTCGGCCATGTTTTTCATCCTCAGCCACGAACAGAACACGCAGCGGCTTTCGTCACACGTGGAAGCAAGATGAAGCAGGAGTCACACGACATACCACTGCCACATGCTGCCACATCAGCTTGTCGCGAGAGCCAACGAGATCTCGACAGTCGGAACCGACAGGCCTGCGGCCTAAGGTACCAGCATGCCTTTTCGCTCCTGTACATCTTGAGCAGGCCTGGCACAAAACCCTGCCCCTAATCAGGCGAGACCATGTGTCTCAACGTTGTCTTTAAAACGTGACTCTGAACGGTGGCACCCTTGGTTCAGGCCACGCAGACTGGAATCTGTACAAACATAGACCTGGCAGTGATGGTATGGGTCTGCTTTGGCAAGGAGAAAATACTCGGTCTCGATCCCAGGCAATCTTGCAAAGTTTACGTTGCATCGTGATCTCGGCCGTCTTACAAGCGTATCGAGCTGCAGCTCTATGCTTTGGAGACTTTTGAGCTATTCGTGCCCGCGGTTGTTCATTCCTCTATACATGCGGCCTGCCACGAGGTCCTTCTTGCAGATCGTGGGCATCAGTCAGGCCTGGGTGCCAGGACAGTCGCTTAAAGATAAGGCGGAACTCGTGTTCCGACTGCAGAACTTGAAAGAGCATTGAACTGCAGCCAAGCAGCAGGAAGACAGCATTCACATTGTCCGCCACACGCAGCATGTACAAGGATGCGATGCTGCCGAAGGGCCCCCATCGCTTGGCAAAAATTTCCATTTGTGGTCGAGTGGGCATCCATGACACCTGGGGTGTCTAAAACTGTGGCTTGGCCAGGCAGACACAGGGCAGCCGAGGCTCCTCGTTTTTGGCAGTTATGTGGGCTGGTGGGGCAATGTTGTAGATCATCTTCATCGCACTCTGGATGGCAACGTCCCCGTACGGGATTCCTGACCATTGGTGAACAAGTGCAAGTTCGCGAAAGCGTAACGTGCGGCAACCGTAGCCGCATCCACTCACCCACCCGATCCCTGGCCACTGCCTTACAAAAAGCAGCACCCCTGAGAAGTGCCGCCTCGTCTATCTTCTTGACAGCGTGAGATACAGAACATCATCTCGCAACAGTGCAGGAACGTGGAACGCACCGAACAGCCCCAAGTCTCCTCCGTGTCGATGGAGCTGAAAGATGAGAAACATCTCGAGTGTCCATTCGCCAATGCCCGGCAGCTGTGTCAGGCGCTGCCGAAGCTCGTCATCCGAGGCCTGCGCAAGCACATCGACTTCTCAAGAGCCGTCTGTGCTGCAGATCTCCCAAAAAGCAACAAATCACGTGCCTCCTCGAAAACTTCGCCGCTCAAAGTGCCATCCAAAAAGCGCTGAGCAATCTTCTGAATGTACTCAATCCTTGTTGCGAAGCCATGTGCAGATCTTCATGGTCATAGACAGTCGTAGAGGTCTGCGTGTTCTCACACAACATGACCCCAAACTGAATCCGCTCGTTCAAGGCTTCAGGGTACGAGGCTACAGCAGTGTCGACAGCAAAGGGCCCTCCCTACGAGCGACCTGTAGGGCAACTCTGTTCTGCTCCACTTGCCCACCAAGTGGCTTCCGGTATGACAGCTTCGCGACTTCACGGATCCTGACGACTCAGATCCCGGTGAGGGTTTCGGCACTCACGCTCGCACCAGGATCCATTGCAAGCCATTCAACCACACCATTTTCGGGTGTAGGGTCTCGGGTTATGGGTGGCAGAGCTGGCTTGAGAGCGCCTGGCAACCTCGATCCTACGTCAAAGGATATTGAAAATGATGAGACCAGCACTTCGCCACCTCAGCCCCGATTGTCTGACACCTAGGGCCTAGGGCATATGCGGAGGAGCCTGTCACAAGACTCGCAAGCCACGCGCTCTGGCTGCAGTACTTTCGTGTCCTTGGCTCGCTGAGAAGCTGCCGCTTGGACCCGAAGCACTGGAGGTCCGTCAACAGGACTCTGTCCGAAAAAAGTTTCAAAAGCACTATTCTCCGGTGCTGCTCAGCCGAGCATCTCGGTTTCCACAGAGTCCAAGCAGTCGCTCAAACATCCCCTGGCAAACTCGCACACTCAGCTGTTGGTGGCAGACCTCGGAGCACTGCACCGCATTGACTCACGTGCAGCGCAAGTTGGTCTTTGCATCGCGGCACTGTTTGAACCAGAGTCGTGAAGGGATCCGGCCTGCACTTCACGGAAGCTGCCTATGGCACCACAAAGTGACAGCAAGCGCAGGCCTGTCTTTGCCGAGCAGCTCCAAAATGCCTGTCGGTGGCCCGATGAGTTGGACCACGTGCCTTTGCTGGAAGTTCTCTGCACTGGACGGCTGGACACAGTGTCAAACGCTCAGCCTGAATCTCTCATCATTTTGGATCAGGTAGCCCACCTGTGCAAGCTACAGAGGCAACTGATACCAATGAGACTTGAAGATGGCAAATTGCGGACCAGAGCACCCCAAGCTGAACACTTTGGCGTGTCATGGCTCGCGGCAGCTGCTGCTCAACATCCATTGGGGGCTCGAGGTCAATTGTACCCAGCTTTGGTGACGAGTCTGGCAAGTCACCTGGGAAGCTTGATCATGTTCGTCAGACCAGCTTTCAAAAGTCTTGCAGACCGGAAGAAGGGCCAAGATACCTCGGACCTGACGGAAGGCGAGCTTGCTGGGTGGTTGCTTTGCCGGCGAGCCTGGCTTTGGGCTCGCGGACGGCCCAGCCCTCGGCTGCTCCAGCACTCAACACCCCAACAGCAAAAAGTGACATAAATCTTACACTCCATTGGGCTATGACAGTCATAGTATGTCAAAGCTCGCTAGGCGCAATGTGCTCCAGGATCGCTTGCCGAAGTTCTCTGAGCTCGTCCACACTTCAGAATTTGGCACTTCCTTGGCGAAGACGCCACGAGCCGTTCCCACGAAGCAGCGCACTTCGCCCTACGCAAAGGAACTCTATTACGGCCTGGCCCTAAAATGCCTCACACAGCTCTCACCAATTCGACTCGAGCCGCCTCCTCTTCCGGAGCTTGGGCGATCTCGAGAGAAGCTGCAGCTTTCGGCTTTTGCTCTCCCTCCAGGAGCTTGTCGTACGTCTCGCTGATTTCCTGCACACAACGAAAGTGCAGAGTACGAATGTACCCGATGTCCAGTCACACACTTGCCGTACTTTCCGCCTGCCGGTTGTCTGCAGCACCAGCAGTGGCCATAACGATGAGACGCGCAATGGGCTTGATGTGCAAGCTCCAGAATGCAGCATGCTTCTGAAGATGCGCGACTTCCTGAAAGGAGTGGGACGGCTCCGGTTCTACCAACATGCCTAGACCTTCCAAGACAGGAAGAGAAGGATCGGCTGCTGACGGGACATCCAAAAAGGCAAGACATCCAAAAGGGCCGCATGTTATTTTCAGAGCGGCTGCTTCCTCGTGCGTGCGCTTCCTCAGACGGGCAAGATGCAGTGCTTCATTCACAGGCATGGTCCGAATGCAGAGACATCTAGAGGCAGATTTGGCCCAGACTCATGTACAGAATGGCTCGACATAGCTGCTCAGATGTCTGTCCAGGTCGATCTAGCCGACCCATCATCTGCACCAGCTGATCCATTTGTACTGGTCCTCGGGATCGGGATCCAGAACCTACTTGTACGCTCAGACACCATGTTACACACGTGATCATTTTGGCAATTAGTGCTGTGACGGTACATTGCTGCTCGCCTCCTTCTGATTATGATGACTATTGCTTATTGTTATTCTTGCTATTCTCATTATTACTAGATGCTTGTCCGTCTCATGCACCTTCTTGTTTTGCTTCTGCTTCTGCTTCTGCCTATGACTATCACCACTACGTACTTCTATTGTTTTGTCCAGTGTTGAATCTGTCTTATTGTCGGTATTCTTCCCATTGTCTGTATTCTGAGTATTCCTCTTCTTAAGTTTTCTTGGTCATCTAAATCATCTAAACTGTTGGCCAGGCTTCTTCACATTCTCCTCCCTGCTGTTACTGTTACGGAGTCCTTCTTCTGCTTGTTTGCTACTGTCTCTAGCTTTCTGTGACAGGTTTACGGAACAGGGCGGAACCCCCCTTTTGCGGGGATTTCTGGATTCCCTCTCTCTCGCTCTCCTCATCGTCGCTACCACCACAGAAGCCACAAGACGAACAACAAAGGGCTTGGTGGGGCAGACAGGTAGTGCTGTGAAACATGAGCAATTGAAAGCACAACTCAACTTGAACCTCCGCCGAAGTGCGTAGGATCAACGAATCGCCCAGAGACTGCAGGTTCAGGCCGGCAGCATCCGAACCCACGGTGAAAATCAGAAGCTCCTTCGGTGCAAGCTTCAGTGCCAAGATCGCAGCGGTCCTATGGAAAAGTGATGTGAACAAGCCGACTGAAAGTGCCTGTACAGTTGAAACGCCCTGACCGAACAACCTCTGCCAAATATGGCACACAAAATCACCCTTCTCCTCGCCCTTCTCAGAGCCTGGCAGTGCTCAAGGGCACACAGCATAAGAACATATACTATGACCGGACCGCCAGCGGCGAACGCGGAAACTGAGCCAAGCGACCTTCGACGGGAGGCAGCTTCTCGCATCCTGCGGGCATGGCAGAATGCAGGCCCACGAGGCTACAAGGTTGCTTCAAAAAGAAGAGGACGAAATCTACTCATCTTCGTGCTGAAAAGCTGGCACAGGCAAAAACAAGAGATGTCAGAAGACTTTGTTGAGGGGCTCGCCTGGCTGCGCGAACTTGTTGAAGTTTCTGCAGATGTCACAACCACGGCAGTGCGCCGGGTGTCGCCGTCGGTAACGTCGGGCGCATCCCAGGTGCCGACAGAGCGCATCGGCCTCGCGCTCCGTGGACGCGAAGACCAAGGGACGCCGGCCTTCCAAGTCCGCAAAGAGAGCTTAGTTGAATTTTTTTCCCTCCCACTTAGCAAGGACGAGCCCGCATTGCAGGGTTAGGTGCAGAACAGAGGCACAGCAAAGCAGTCAAGGAAAGAGGCACACCATCTTAGCAGCCAAACCCTCGACTAATTCAAAGCAGACTGACCACCATCCAGGATATTAGTTGAATATAGTTGGGGGTTTCCGAAAATAGGGGACCCTAATATAGTACCCTAAATAGTAGGATCCTTATTATCAGGACCATAACATACTTGACTTAAGAGGACACAAGACAAGAGGACACCAAGAAGTCTTCTTTGGAGGATCTGCCGCTGGCCTTCTTCCCGCAATTGCTGAACAGTTTGCCAGACCGCCTCTGCCAGGGGCCTGGCATCGTTCTGGACCGCTGTGCTCAGCCTGGATCAGCATGAGAACTTCGACATGTTCATGCGAAGCCCACCAACACGGAGTGGAGGCTCGCATGTTGCTTCCCAGCTACACTCGCCGCATGCGGCTGAGCACTTTGACGAAGTTCTGTGCTGCGCGTCCACGGCATTCATCCACCACCTTGTTTGGAGAAGAGCGATACCAAGAGTTGGCCGAACCCCAACAAATTCCACATAGACTGGCACAATCTGGCACAATCGTTTCGGCATGACCATGCCTCCAGGTAGGAGGACTGCACTGCAGCTGGAATGTCAAGAGGTACCAGCTTTGTCTGCCAGCTCCGCTGTGGTCGCATATAGCTGATGAGGTAAGCACCAAAGTATGCTTGAACAAACCTCGGTCGAAGTGGCAAACCGTGCTTTTCGCCAGCAGGAAATCAAATTTCCGCCCACGGGTCCAATGCGAAGTGCCGGAAAAGTTCACAACGAGATGCTCCGCGCGTAGAGGGATAGAGCTTCTCAGCATCTTCAACATGTCCAAAAGGTCACTGTAGTGCCTAGGGAACAGGCTGTCGAGATGTTTAGTCCAGAGTCTAGGGTTGCTCTCGTTACGGCGAGCTCATGATCTATCGTAAACTGCAGAAGTCTAGCCGCCTTCGGAACATTGTGCCCGAGATGAAGTGTCCTAGCGATGCTGGCCGCGCCCGCGGTCGAGCAGATCGACGGAGCAAGAAGGGGATATGCTAGAGAGCTCACAGACTGGGTGCGCTCCTCCATACAAGGATCGCGAGACCAGGCGCCAAGCAGCCGTGCACTGCAAAGTGTCAGTGTTCTGAAGTGCCAAGCATTCATCCTTGAAAAAGACTCTTCAGCAAGCTTTCAGCACACAGGCACAGGACTACGGAAATCAAATTCCCACATGAAAGATCACCGAGGCCCATCAGTGCCTCCAAGATGCTGCCACGACGAGCAGCCAAGTGCAGCAAAAAGGATGTCGAGCTGCCCGCGCATATGTTGTGATGACGAAGAGGGTTTCTGCGTCCGTATCCTGCGGCCCAGCACAACACTTCTAGATGGGTTCCATATGACCGACACCCTTGTCCCACACTTCGCCCACAAAGCACGGATCCGTCGCACAATGGGGTATCTTTGCGAACCCGTGTCAGTAAATCGGAGCAAGGATAACGTTCTCCGTGCGGAGCTTTCACGGAATGCAAGGGTCCGCATTATATCAGGATTTCGGGCGTGCAGATGAACCGGTGCATCGGTCAAATCGGTAGAAAACAAGAAAAAAGACAACGATGTCCTGGACACAGCGTTTGCGCTTGCCGGGCGAAGCCTTGCCGGGTGATGTCGCGGCCTGATTGGAAGCTCGCTGGGAAACCTCATAGACAGGGAAGTGGACCGAAGGCAGGTTGCGGGCGAAAGTCAAAAGCATACGTTCAACACCGAGGTTGCAGCATCACGTAGTACACCGTTCTCTTGCTGCAACTGAATTCGCACACCTTCGAGGTGAATCCTCCCAACTATGAATCAGCAAGTGGCTTGAATACCGACAGGCCTGAGGTGTGCTGGATGAGCTGGTCCCGCCAACCCTCCATCAGTGAGCTTGAGCCCACCAACACCAAGAACTGACCTCCTCCATGTGCGGAGGCCAGGAACATGCAAAAGCCTGGGGCTTGCGCGGCAAAGCTCGCAGTAAAGGCACCAACTGGAACACTGAACCAATGGCCGGGGAACTCACAGCCACCAATGTTTTGCCAGCACCCAAGCTTGAGGCATCTAAAGATCCGTTCCTCTGCTGCGATGTGCGCATGCCACAGTTTGCTTATAATCTGACATGCATGGCTGACGGTGGGATAAACCCATACCATACTGTAGCCCCAGCCCCGAACTCGAGTCCAAGCGGACTAAAATCCGTATGTAGTTTGCGTGAAAGCGGACTCTGTTCGCTTACGAGCATCGATCCCTTGTGACGGCTTTGCAGCAGTCTCTCCACTGCTTCCTTCTGGTAAGGGAAGAGCTCCGTGGTCACCCTCGCCTCGATGGCAAGAGGCGTGGGCTGGTCGGTGCAGCAATCATCTAAGAAAGGACCCGCCTCTACTGCCTTGGGCTGTGCGAGAGTCAGGCGACCCTCGGCATCCTGATATGCCAGAGTTTTGACCACCTCGGAGACCATATCTCAAGAAGGGCCTGAGGTTGGCTTCACGATGCCGCATTTGCCCCGAGCGGCTGTCAGCAGGTGCTGGTGCAAGGACCCCGAGATATCTGAGGTGCGAGTGACACGAAATGCCAAGTCATTGCTGGTCGGAGCCTGGGAGTTGCCACGGAAATGCGCTTAGGCTTTCAGCTCTGGGTGTGCTGCTAGTGCTCCATGCTGCCCCGGCTCAAGCACCCATGGGTAGAGGAATGTCAGGAGCAAGACAATGCGAAAAAGGGTGCCTGATCTTACGAACTTCTCGGAAGCAGCTGGCGAGGCACATTCAAGCAATCGTCCTGCGTATGGATGCGCAGGCGACAACGTCAGACCTTGGATGTGCAGCGGTTGCGGGATCCAGCCGGCAGGAAGTCAACGTCCCATACACAAGGAAACTCTGCCAACAACCCTGCGCTTGTCTGCAGAAGGAGCACATGGATTGCCTTCGAAATCTTCTTCCAAAAGCAGGCGAGCATAGATCTGCGAAGCCAACGCATCAAGGGTTTCGGTCAAAAGCCATCAAGTGCTCAACCGTTCAAACAGCACCCTTATAGTCTTGACCTCTCATTCCTCAAATTCTACATGCATGGTTCTGCTATGCGGTCCTCTTGCCAAATGCACCCAGGTATCTTGCTGGCGAGAGCTTCCTGGCAGGCAGACTCGAATCACACGGAGCCTCGCTGTGATCCCACCCCTCCTCTAGCCATTCAGGTGCAGCATCTTCACCTGGAGAGCTGCGCAAGGTCTCAGCCACACCTCAAAAGTGCTCACGAGTGAAGGCGTGCAACGCCCCGAGTGTCTGTGTTTTTGGTGTTTTTCTTTGGGCCATCCCGGCCGGGCGGCTGCGGAGCTGCGCGAGCAGGCTCACCTGATCCAGCCGGGAGTCGATGTAGAGAGCCTGGGACAGCAGCGCGCGGTCCTGAGCGCTGAGCAGGGATCTGTAAGGCACTGTAAGGGCCATCGGGCTCTCGGGCGAATCGCCTCGTCACACAAGCTCTGCGAATTCGACGGCATCCGACATCTGCGAAGGACAGGTCCAGCGTCAAACGGCGGCAGCCTCGGGGCTTGAAGAGTTTTCAGCAGAGCCTCTCTACATAAACAACGGAGTCAACCGAACGGGGGGGGGAAGTCCAAGAGTGATCTGAGACGCTCCACTCCGGCCACGAAAAAGCGCAAAGCTTCGACTGCCGAACTGCTCGCAGCTGCACGCAGCTGCACCGGGCCTCATCGGAAATGAAATCTGGGTGCTTTGAGTGGGGTTCAAAGCCTTAAAGCCCTGCACTTCCCAAATAAAGCATGCTCCACACCAAACCAGAAATCTGGTTTGTACCGGCCCCGGCCCACCCTCTTTCTGGCATGCCTCTCCTTGAGCCAAGCTTCCAGAAACTGTCCAAATGAAACCCATCGGAGGCAACGGCAGGCTGCATTTCGAGTCGGCAAAGGACTTGCAGTATGCACGGGCTGCTGCCTTGCGAGAAATGAAAGCCATTAACACGATAGGCCCTGATAGGCTGCCATGCAGTTACGAGGGATGCGTTCCTGTCCAGGCTGCCTCCCGCACAGAAGTCTCATCAACTTCCTGGAAGGCTTCGTCCCTGTCTCCTTCAAAACAGCCATGCACGAGGCCCAACTTCCCAATAATGGAGCTGGAAGTAACTCCCATGCATGCGTTGTGCTCACCTTACAATTAGCTCCTGCTTGTCCTTGGCTCCTGTGCGCTCGCTGGACTAGGAGCGGCTGGTCGAGGCGGTCGGTACGAGCGCAGGTGACGCGCACGGTTTGGCCGTCCTGCCATAAATTATGATGCAGGTGCGCTGACCCGCACAGCCTAGCAGCCTATCATAAGGAGCCTTGCGGTCCGCGGCGACCTTCACTTCGCGGGAAGCGCCGAACAGGCTGAGAAATGCATCCTGGGATACGATCCCGAGCTCAAACCCTTCGCACATTTTCACTTGGCCACCACATCATCTGAACAGAGTCTGGAATCAGCCCAGTTTCCAAGCGAGAGCTGTCATCATTGGCAACCAGCACACTTTCCAAGGAGCTTTTCTTCCCACCACGCCTGTTTAACACAAGTCGGTTGCTGCTGTCCCATGAGCCATTATTTACCGGAAACAGGAGATGTGCAAGTGACAGCAGAGGAGGCTAGCGCCGCAGGGAGGAGCTGAGCCGATGCTCCGAAGAGTCTTTGTCTCCATGCTCTACGAGGCTGTCAGGCTGTCCTTCTGGCTGTGGCCGTCGCTGGTTTGGGAGGCTCCGCCTTGGCAAGGTGGCGAACGAAGCGAGAGCATCGAATACAAAAGTGGCCAGAAGCCAAAAGCTGTTATTCTCCCAAAGCAGTAGTCAAAGCTGGGAATGTTGTAGCATCGTTCGTTCTGCAAGCTTTCGGAAATGTTCTCCAGTTTCACGCCACCGATTATCTGAACCAAAATTAAGCTGGCAGGTGGATCTCAGGAATTAGGGTCCTCTGGATCCCGAACAAAGTCGGCTTTTCGCACATCGCGAAAGAAGAAAGAGGCAGACGGCCAGAGAGGGACAGACAAACACAGAGACAGACGGACAGACAGGCCAGTAGACAGAGAGAGAGAGAGAGAGAGAGAGAGAGAGAGAGAGCGAGAGACAGAGAGGCTGGAGGAGGGAAAACAGACTCTGGCGTCTCCAGCAAGCAACATTCTGACTGCAGAAGTTATGCTGAGAAGATGGGACAACACACCTGTACATATTCTCAAAGGCTCAGAGGTATTCATCTCCGAAAGAAGCCAGAAATCCCTCTGTCGCAAAGTACTGAGAATCAGAGCCCCATCAGACTCCCGATCAACAATCCGGATTTCCTGACCAACAAGCGTGGCCTGGACATCACGCCATCGATCCCCCAGGTGCTCACTGTTCGCAACCCGCTGATGTGTATCGACGATCAGACTCAGCCATGCCACATGAACACTGAGCTGAATCACTGCAAAATTTTCAATAATTCGAGACACCGTAGATGTTTGCGATGATTGCTTTTTGCTTACCATAACTGACATAACTGACCATAACGTTCAAACTCTACTGCCCCAAGCACACCGCCTGGGCCACAGATTAACTCCAAACAACTTGCCTGGAAGTAGTTGATAAACACCATGCCAGTATTTCAAAGCCAAGATCGGCCTTTCGAGCCGAACCGGCCGCCCCGCCGCATCTGCACCGACACCTTTCCTCCGAGCCCCAGCTTCCTTGCTGAAAGACCTTGCACTGCAAAGCAGTGGCCCACCACTGCGCGCGGCTCGGTTTGTTCCCCCCCCCCACCCCGCCCCCACTCATGTCTGCAATCCGGTGGCTTGCGGAAATGTAAAATCAATGGCTTGTGTTGCCCGATGGACATCCGCTCGCAGAAGCTGAAACTGGCAATCAAGAAGTGTAAAATAAAGGCTTTTCCTTCCCTCCCGCCCAGCTGACAATGTCGCAACGGGGAAACGAAGTGAGGTGTGGGCTCGCCTCACGCCTGGAAAAAGGAAAAAGCTCATCAGAAGACCCCAGCAGCCCCTCAGCATCACAGGTCAGAGCACGCATATACACTGGAAAGTAGAAGCCACAAACCACTCACCACTTATCCCCACTAACCCATGCGGGAGCAACAGCACTGCCACTCAGCTCTGGTCTCGAAATGTAGAATAGGGCCAATTACCGGACACGAGCATCTAGTTAAAGCAATTCCTTGTTGTTGAGTTCCCTCATCGGCTAGCGAGGCTGGCACGGGAGCTCACATCAGCAGCAGTTGCTCTCCCGCCGAGTGCAAGGAGTACAATCCCGTCAACTAGATCTGGGAGACGGCACCAGGCCTGGGGTGGTGGCCTCGGGCCTCCTCCTCCTCCTCCTCCTCCTCCTCCTGCGTCTTCTTCTTCTCTCTCCCGGGAAGGCAAGTGAAACGGGCAGATCTATGTATGAATCCGGGATTTGTTGCTAGTGAAAACAAAGCCCTGCAGCAGACCTATCCGAGAAACCGCTCCAAAAGATGCAAAAGGATCCTGGAGAAGCACTTTGATGCCTCCCCCTCCCCCTCGATTTTACGTCATTAAAAGGCATAGTGCCCTGAAGACCACCTCGCGCCGAAACGCTCTGCCCAACACTCTTTCTTTCGCCAGGCCTGTGGCCAACACTCTCATGCCTGTTCTCCTTTAGAACATGGAACCTCGAGGGAGCAACAGCTCCAAACCGACATAACTCGAGGGATTCTTTCAGGTCGAGCGGCCAACATAAACCTTTGTACAGACTCCAGGGTGGTGCGAAAGCCACGACAGCGGTCGGATTGGAGATGACACCTTGGCAAAGCTTGTAGAATGTGTGCAGTGTCCTTACGGAACGTTCTGAACAAACAACAACTCGGTCTTTACCTACAGCCAGGTGTCTGGAACCTGGCGTCTTGAGCAAGCAAATCAATTACCATCACGATACCTGCACTTCTCTGACTTCGCGCAATCAAGCCCAGGCACTCCTCCTCGCTGACAAAGCCCTCTGCATTCGACTTCTGCAAGCCCGAGTCATCTGGCAGCGCTCTTGCTTCTGCTAGGTCCCGGCCAGCAGCAAAATGCTCCTGGAGAGTGCTGCGCGATGATCGGTTGTTGTACACTGAGGGCACATCTAAGATGGCCTCGTCCATGTAGTTGATGATACGCTCCATGTCTCCGGCTTCGATGTAACCGCCTCAACGCCAAAGCCCCGTCTAGAGCAATACCGAGGCTCAAGACTTTCGGCACTTGTGGCCTCGTAGCTTCAAGTCCTTCTGATGCCGGGTGTTGAACTGCGTCCTCCAGTCAGTCAATGTAGTGCCAAGACGGAGTGCTCCATCAAAATTGGAGAGCTGTGCTTCCGAGCATCTGTTCAATGAAAAAGCGGAGGTTGCGCAAGTGCAAGTCCTCCCACACTCTGAGATCCGATGAATTGTGGCACAAATGCACAGGGGCATGGGGGAAGTGTGGGATGATCGTGTAAACATCCCTTCATCGGCTCCTACATACCTGTAGACCTACTTCGACGTTTAACAAGGCTAGAGCTGACAACTACTCCGAAATTCTACCTCTTTCGCATGTCCTTCAAGTTCGTGCTCTCACAGAGCGGTGGCTTCCGGAGGGCCGCTTGGAGATGCAGCGGCAGGTGGGGCACCACCGAGCAGTCCACCTGCTTCGAGACTTTACTCTCGGGTTTCGGCCGCGTGCCTCTCCGTTCGAGACCTAGACTGCGGACAAGAGGCTGCTGCCAGGTGGTAGTCAGAGGGCAGCCTTTCCTGCAGAAGCGCTTGCCGGTCCAAGGGCCTTAGGCCGCCTTAGGCCACTCTCCAGCCTCCAGGTCAGCTCTCGGGAGTGGCAGTTGGTAGATCGGCAGACCTCCCCGATTCACCATGGCGTCAGCATAGCCTTGCCCGACATAGGCTGCCGAACTAAGCACTGCGTCACCACGCCAGACTGCGAGCTCAGGGGCAGGACATCATGCCGGCCTTGGATATATTCCAGTCAGTAGGATTATGATGGTCCAGCGATGGTCCCTGAAACGTACAATGTCTGCGAGAGCAACATCCAAAGGGTCAAAGCCTGGCGGCTTCTTCTGCAGACAGACAGAGAAAGCCTCTGGTTAGCAAGCGCAACGAATTTCGAATGTCTGCCATTTCGTCGTCACCGGTGGTCCAGTCCTGGTTGCATTAGACAACGGCTGGTCTGTGCAGCCATGCAACACTGCAACATTGCGATCCGCAACGCTATGCCAGGCTACAAACCGACCATCATCACCTCCGCCGCTGGGTTTACGCCAAGTCTTCCAACGCATGTACGACCTGAGCAACGAAAGGAAACACCGCTGCAAAACTTCAGCAGAAGAGGCGTTTTGTGCTGCACGAGAATTCGAGATTCTCCGTTTTTGGCGAAGGAAGATTCCCCACTTTTGGAACCTGCAACTGCGGCTCGAGCTCACACGAGCAACGCCCGCGCATGGAACGACTCGAAACCCGAAACGTGATTGACCCCTCGTTTTGGGGCAATCTCAGAGGTGGCCTTTCCTGGGCTCTCAAAGCCTCGGCCGCAGCTTCCAGGTCGCTGTCTCGCCCGCTCGAAGTGGCCGCACCACCTTGTCGCCGAAAGGGTACTTCTCCGGCACCTTCCAGGCTTCTCGGACGAGGACCCGCTTCCCAGCATTTTCTGGCAAGCCGTAGAAGGCGGCCCCGCGCTTGGACACGAAGTCCTCCAAGGCGTCCAACCTTCCAATGGCCTCAAAGGCTTCGGCGACGAGCTCCACAGCCATGTGCGCTGTGAAACATCCGGCACAGCCACAAGGACACTCTTTCTTGTCAACTCCGTGGGGCGCAGAGTCCGTGCCTAGGAAGTACTTAGGATTATCCACCGCGCACTGCAGCAGCTTCAGCCTGTCAGGCTCTGTTTTGAGGATAGGCAAGCAGTAGTAATGCGGATTAATGCCACCCTTGAATATGGCATTGCGATTGTGACAGAGATGATGCGCCGTTATCGTGGCTGCCACATTTGGCCCGGCCGTTTCCACAAACCGGGCCGCCATTGCCGATGTGATGTGCTCACAAACCACACGAAGCTTTGGACACCGACTGAGAATCATAGGCATGACCGTCTCATAGAAGCTCTGCTCACGCTCGAAGATGTCGATGGACTGATCCGTGGATTCACCATGCACCAGGAGCAGGAGACCCACTTCTTCCATCTTCTGCAGCGCTGGCATGATCTTCTCGTAATCTGTAACCCCGAAGTCTGAATTCGTAGTCGCTCCTGCGGGGTAAAGCTTGACGGCATATACATGCCCGCTCTCTTTAGCTTTCACGATCTCTTCGGGCGACGTTTTGTCCGTCAAGTAGAGCGTCATCAAAGGGACGAAATCTTCGGGCCTTACATCCTTCGGAACACGAAGCAGGATTCGCTCACGGTAAGCGAGGGCTGCTGCTGTGTTTGTGACCGGAGGTACGAGGTTGGGCATCACCAGCACACGGCAGAACTGAGCCACCGCATGTGGCACTGTGTGTTCCAGGTAGGGCTCGTCACGAAAATGATGATGGAAGTCATCCGGCTGCAGTATAGTCATCTCTTTCATGTCTGCCATGGCTCAATGTGCGATTTGCAGGTGTCTTTCTCTCACACTCGTAGATTGCTAGATCAATCGTTCCTGCACGTTTGGCTATGCAAATCGGAACATTTTGCTTCACGTTTGTGTATAATTTCTGCTCTGCTGCTCTGCCTATCCCTCCCGAAACCTTTGTGTGCTGCGGGCATCTGCTCGGAGATGCGACGACATGTCAAAAGGCCGAGGATTTGCCTAGCTGCTGGATGTATGTATCTGCATGTGGGACAAACATGAAGACACATTATGGCAAAAACGCACAGAATTGTCCAAGCCACTCCGGCTGGTCTGCAGCCTGTGCAGCGCTTGCAGTGCGCAGCAAGGCTGCCCGCAGCGCGGCTGGCAGCCGCCACGATGGCAGGCTGGCCGCCAATACCGCGAGCCTCAGTAGGCGGGCTACAGACACACGAGTCCTCGACCCCGAGTCAGAAAGGGACATTGACTGCACTCTGAGTCGTCTACATGGACAAGGTGGCGAAGCTGAGGTGCTCTGGGCGCTGTTTCCAAAGCCGCACCGAGTCCATCATAGCCTTGGAAAAGCTTTACTGAGACACACGTGGACGATTGCGTAGTAGAGTCGTAGAGGATGGGGCCCCAGCAAGCAGGAGGCAGCGAAGGGCCGCTGCTGTTGCGAGTGCGTCCCTGGAGTCCAAGATGGCCTGGAGAGCCTCGACACCATGCTGGCGTAGACAAATGCATGCAAACGGCATGTCAAACTGTCTGCACAACCACGAAAGAGCCTCCTGAACTGCAGCTGCACCACCGCCAAAGAGGCGGCCCCTTTCGATGGTGCGGCGAAGAAGGCTGCACTTGAATGAAAGCTGCTGGGACCTCTGCACGCCGACCGATGCCACAGCAATGAAAAAGACTCAAACCGCAAAACAGGAGCGACGTGCTCTCAACCGTTAGTTCCAAGTGCCTGGCAATGGTGCCTTTGACGTCTTGTCCGAGGGCACTTCTTCTGCAATGCAATCAGCAGGCAAGCCAAGAAGAATAGCACGATGCTGCCCGTCTGGGCAGATCGCGTGCACTTTGCCTTGGATAAGAGTCTCTACGGGTGCTGCTATGGAGGGCGTCCATCAGCCATGATGGGACGATGCAGCGTTAGTCTGGGATCTTGCATCGATTGCTTTCATGGCATATAGCACACACATCAGAAGTTGCCCACATTAGCAAAGCAATTGAAATTCGAACGAGAGCGTACGGTGCAGTTTGGGCACTGTAGACGAGTCCTCCCGCCCTGCCATGAGCTTGTGGAGGAAATGCCGTGAAACTGGTGGTGAAGGGCGGCTCCTGACGACAATACGGTGTGTTCCCTTCTCTTGGAGATTGTCATCCAGGAACCGCAGATTTACAGTTACAGAAGCCCAGCAGCTCCATGCTCAGCTCCACCACGCAGTCGGGAGCCCTGGAGGTGTCATCCGCAGCAGCTTGCTCTGCAGACATCAGCCCACCACTAAGCAGATGGCAGTCACCTTGACTGCGTGCCAGAGGATGTCTTAACCCGGCATAGGCGCTGCAAGCGATGTGAAACAAGAGGACTGTCAAACCGCCAGGCTGCCCAAAGATGCTGTCAGCCGCTTTTCCTTGCAGATGGGGTTTGCGGCAAAGTCCATGCCGTCCTGGATATTTGCACAACCCCGTAGCAAGAAAAGGCACCTACCTCTCAACGTTTGCTCCTTGAAATCTTGCCCCTGAAGTTTTTGCAGGTCGGCGTTGGTGGCAGAAGTTACCTCAAGCAGCGCAGCAGGTCTGATGAACTGTGCGACAGCACAAGCCGCACAAGCATGTTCCAACTGGCCCGGCCCGGAAAGCAACGGGCAACGCCGATGTGCGCCGCAGCTGCAGCCGCAAACGATCTCGATCATTCAGCTCGCCCAAATCTGCCTCGCCGACGGCGAGAGTTTCCTAGTCTTTTATAGACTTATAGACCTGCATAGAACTCCAGCATGTCCCGACCAGAGCACTGCGGGAAATCTCGAGGTGGATTCCAGGCCCGATATTCAATCGCTCGAGTTTTTGGATAGCAACAAGGCAGGAGTACGTCGAAAGATGCATAATGCCACATAGCATAATCCAGTCGGTGATCGAACCACACATCGCTCTGCTTTGTATGCCCCTTTGGTTCGACAAACTACATACACACCTGCAACACAGTTGAATAAGTACCTACCTACCCGTCTACACTACCTACCTACCTACCCACCCACCCACCTGCCTACCTACCTACCTGCATATGTACCTACCTACCTACCTACCTACCTACCTACGTATCCGTCTACTGTACCTACCTACTTACTACTTACCTTCTGTCCGAAAGACCGACCGGCATTAGTAGACATTTGTACATATTCTCTCTCTCGCACCGTGTGCGTTCAGGAAGTTACCTCAGGTCGTCCTGCGGCCGAGGGCCTGAAAGTTCTTCTGGAAGACTTGCCGGACGTGTGCTTGGACCATCGCATCCACCTGGCGACTTGGCCGTAGACCCGCAGCGATGCTGGCTAAGGACAGGGCCCAGAAGCTACAAATAGGATCAAAACACCCTTGACTCGGCACACAACTTATCGCGAAGTGGCCGTTAACGGTGAGGCGTGGCCGAGCGCTTTTGCTGCAGCCACCTCAAGCAAAGGGAAACCCGTTGCAGTGCACACGGCGACAGAAATCTGAAAGAGTCAGTGCAGCTCTGACACCGGATCCCCAGCGCGAAGTAGGGCACTAGCAGCCGCCACGGCCTTGAAATAAGATGGAAAGGCGTATCCCGTGAGAGCGTGAGAGAAGAAGCTTGGCCCGAAGGACGCACGACCTGAGGGGGATGGGGATCCCTGAGCACTTTAGCACCTCCAACTCGGTTGACCGTCTCGCTAGGCTTTGACATGCGTCTGCCGAGTCAGCCAACAAAACCTCAAAACGTCCTGCCTCGTGCGCAGTCATGGGCGGCACATCGCCTGCAAGCAGGTGGCATTTGATGCCTAGGAAACGGTGCAAGTTCCAGCTCCGAGGCTCTGCGATCGAGAGATTTCTGAGACGTCACAACTTCGGATGAATTTTCAGTTGCGCCTGGCTCCTCTCTAAATCCATATTCACAGCCCCGCGCGACAAGCATTGTCCTGGACCCTAGTTTGCTCCAGACAGTAGCCTCGGCACTCCAACTGCAGATGCCATCCCGGGACAACAGGGCATTTGTTGAACCTAGTCTATTGTCTATCAACGGCGCAGTGGACATGTGCATGCTCAGCACTGCAACGCCCACTGTCCAGAGCGACCCACACATGTCAGACTGAACAACACACAACCAGTAAGAACTCAAAGTCATGGACAACACGGCATCAGATCTGGACTCTCCCGTAGACTCGGACCGTCCAACAAATTCGTGCAGGCCTCGGAGGAGCAGCACCAAGCCGCAGCGCAGCTGTACACCTCTGGTTAGCTTGCTGCCTGCGTTAGCCTGCATCAGCCTGCATCAGCTTGCATGATGCATACTTCCCGGGAACATCCTCAATACCGAAACATCTCGAAACCATCGAAGGGCCCTCGGACATGGCCGAGCTGCGGCTGCCGGCGGTAGCTCCCAGGGCGGCGATCGTCAACTCGCAACCACGCAGTGACTTCTCTGGGGCCAAAGCACACCAGCGTGCCAGAGCCTTGGTATGCGAATCTGAATGCCTCCACACCTTACAGATCAGACCTTGTGTATGCGCTCACAAACTTGCAGCGACTGCAATGACTTGCACGGGACACTAGCCGGAAAGCCTTGTCTGCAGCATGGCCTCTCGCCTTACGTGTAGCGGTGGTAGGCTCCACATCTGTTTTCGCTTCTGGCTCATCCCGGCCTTCGGGACAGGTCATTAGCACGCTCGCACTACCCCGTTAAGCAAGAGGATGGAAGCGACACTCAAGTTGCCCTTGATCTCAAAATGCACAGCGTTTGCCCCACCTCGCTCTGCAAAGTCCCGCTCCGGGCTAGCCTTCAATCTCTTGCAAGGCAATACTTGCTCCTGGTCGAGAGGGCACGTTTCTTGTCCAGCACTGTACTTGCCACTGTCTTACAGGTTGACCTCGATTTTAATGCTAAACGGAGGTCTAGTACATTGCTGGGCTGCCCTCCTCATCGCTTTCCAGATCGAGGTCTACGGCTGCAGAACCAGCACGCAGCTGGCAGCCGAAGGCACTGCTCGAGGCCATGCAGACCCCATCTATTGCAGAAATCTATTGAGTCGTGAGAGCGGGCTAGGGAATGTCTTTGTTGAGCAGTGCAAAGGATCTTGGATCGGACCCAATCTGCACGCGCTTTGTCGGTCATTCTGCTGTGTCGCATGCTTGATCTGCGGCAGCACAAGCTGTCGACTCATACACGTGCTGGCCATGACCAAATGCAAGAGACCTCACGTGCGAAAGCGCTTGCTCAGGTCCGATGCATCTCCTCAATTCGCGGGTAGGCCATGTCCCAGTCCAGCCTCGCAGCTTGGCTTGCTGGGCTCGAGACAGCGTGCAGGCTTTTCGAGGCCAAAGCTCGGAAAGCGGACCGGAACTTGCCGATGCCCCGTTTTTGCCTGAAACACCTGCAAAAGGCCCATCCAGGACAAACAAGCTCCTCTCTTCACACTGGTCGAGGAGAAGCTCTGCCTGGCAAGAAAGGCGAAACCTGCAGAGCCCGGTACAGTTTCGGTCAGACCAGAACGTGCGAAAATTCTGTGTGCCTTTGTTCTCCCTTGCGCGGCTTGCCCTTCTGCCTCGGCTTCGACTCACGACACTCTGCTCAGGCGCCGTTCCGGAGCGATGCGCTCGGCTCACGACGTCAGCCCTCGGAGTGCCTTCCCGCGACCTGGTGGCAGCAGTGGCAATGAACATGTGCACATTTTTGCACTTCACCACTCCCTTTCACACTCTTCCGGACCTTGGCCTATTCGAGTTCGCCGAAGCAACGGAAGCAGCGATGTCCGCCGCAGCTCGTTGACTGAAAGAGGAGTTGAGTGTAATGGCCTCAATATGTCGCGGCATATCTCCGATAGCATGGAAAGGGAACCCAGTACAGTAAACGATGCCGTGCCTTCCGAATTCTGGGGCGCCGGGCTCCGGGACTGAAGGTCAAATTGGCAGGCCTGGCTCCAGCTTTGCATGCACTGAGATACTTGCTGAGAAAACGACATCGACTTCAATGCTGCCACGGTTTTTTGCCACCCCGGCGCCCTTCACCAACCCGGATTGCACCCCAGGCTTCCGGCGGAGCGCGCACAATCATGGCAGTAAGACAAGTCAGGAAGAAGCGCAGAACGATGTGCCTCCCATGGGCAGGGAACTGCGCTCCATTTTTCACGGTTACTGTGGCCTTGCGGGCTGCTACCGCCACCCGTTTGACTACGGCTGTTTCTACTTCTGTTCCTTCTGTTGAAGATGGAGTTTTTTTCCCTCTCGCATGGCTAAGGATCAATGCCCACAAGCGAGGTAGGACTTGGTGCAACAAGTTCACTGTACCACCGTACTACCAGATAGAGATCAGCTCAAAGTTCTAGCCCGCCACTACGTGAAAATAACCCAGGAACTTCGAGCCTTCAGATCTCTACCACAACTACGGCATTCATGTCGCAGGTCTCCGACTAAAAGTAAGCCAATCACCCTAGGGGTTCAGAGACTTATTGTGACAGGAAGCAAGGCTGTACGCTACATAGACGCATTGGTCAAAGTACAAGACAATCCTAAAGGAAAGCGAGGAAACTACCATCGTGGCAAAATGCCATCAGCAGAACCTAATTCCTAATTCCTAATTCCTAATTAAAGCCAAAGCCAAAGCAGAAGCAAATTAAATGCAAAATCGATCATGCACTGAGCTCACTCATTGCAGTCCACTCAGTACTCACACTCCCAGACATTCGCCAAACACAGCTTGCCCCATCATGCTGAAGGGATGAGTCTCAGCAACCCAGAATTGCACAGAAGCAGGTTGCCCACTATGGAGGCAATTCCAGCTAGCTGAAAATCAACTCCCAAAAGAGAAGTCAGGAACCAAGTTGAACAAGGCTTTGCAGCGAGCGTTCAGTAGCTCTCTCTCCCCGAGTCTAGGTTCATCCGGACTGTGAGGCTGGTCAACCATAGCACTGATTCAAATTCTGCCTGCAGTGGCAGGAGGTGCAAAACACCGATCTGGCCATGCCACAGGATCAAGACTGGTCAAGACTGGACTGCCCAAAAGCAGTGATGGCGGATACCAGAGAATCTGGTCACCATAGCACCATGAAGACCTGTATGCCCCATTGTAGTGTACAAACCTGTCAAAAGGCCAAGCAAAACACCGCAGTCAACACTGGGCCCATCTATGACTCCGACTGCTTTTTCCACCAGTCGAACCAGCATCCACAATACTCATCAGAGTTATGGGTTTGCCAGGCCAGAAAGAAAGTCAGAGGCGCAGGAGTTCCATGGCAGAACACAACCTAAACTCTCAACTCTCAACCCAAAGGAACATGTTGAAAGCATGACAGGATTACGAAGACCCGAGCGACCCTGAAATCCACGCTTGAAGACCATACACCAAACATAACCTAAGCAGTTGCACGGCGGTGTGGAAGGGGAGCATTGTGGAATAGCACGGCGCACGCACGTTTTTGTTTGGTTTTTCGGTTTTCATCGATGCAATGCGCCATCACAGAGAGTCATCCACCACACTCGCTAGCACACAAGGTCACCATTAATGCAGCCAAGGCGCTCACTCCCGAAACCGGAAATTGAAGTACCCCTCAAGCAAAAACGGCCCAAGCCAATTAGACTTCCAGCCCACGCCAGAATTCTGAATTAAAGACGAGAAATCCTAATTACAAATTAAGGACGTCAGAAGCATGCAAGTACCAGCAACAGGCAGTTGGCAGGGCGTGCGTGCAGCAGCATTTCGGGGGGTCAGGGAGCAGGGAGAGGCTGGAAGAAATCAGAGATACGGCTTTGATTCAGGTTGCTGGGGAAGTATCCTGTATTATGTAGGCTGACAGTTCCCAGAGGTGTAAATGCGACTACGATCACTCGGCGGCTTTCCACCCAAGGTTGGGTGGCGTGCAGGTGCGACCTAGCCGAGAAAACATAAGGCTCGTCGAGGCTTTGAATCCTACCTGGAACCCTACGGCCTTGAAAAAGCTGAAAGACATCCCCTTTGTTATCCGCAACCCATAACCCACCACCATTGGAATGATGAGTCAAAGCGACAACCATGCTGTCCCCCAGATTCTTAGTGTCCCTATGAGGGAGGCGACTACCATTCTGGCGAATACAAATGCACGAGCATCGAAAGCCTGGCACAATTTGGGTTACGAAGGCTCGGAGCACTTGGTACACATGCGGAAGTTGGTGCGTCGCAGTCGTAAGTACTGAAGTGTTTCTGGGATTTGCGCCAAAAACAGCAATTAGCCCACCTTCAGTATTCTTATCTCTATACATGAATCGCCGTGGCAATGCATCCCAGATTTCCAGGATTTGGGATTTCGTGAACAACTCATTGCGACCATGCTTACACATAAGAGTGTATGCTAAGGTTTCCAGGGGGGCAACTGCAAGGTCAACCCCAAGCGATCTGGCAATTACTTTCCAGGTCTCCTGTTCATCCTCATGTGGGTTGTTGGGAGGTGAGGTTGGTGATGGGGACCTAGAAGAGTCGACAATCTGTACCTGTGCACTGTCATCCTGTGCATTGTCATCACTCGATTCAACGTCGAAGGGGAGATCTGGTGCATTTGCGTGAGTCGGGGTGTCGGGCTTCAGTTGCGCCGGGGTGGAGCAGCCATCCGGTGAGCAGGATCGGCCACACTTCATGTTTGCAACTCTCGATCATGAACGTTCATCTGTAATGAGCCAACAGTAATCGGTACTACGTAGTAATGGTCAACTGCAGCTGGCAAATGCGCAAAATGCAGCACGAGCGCACATGACCCAAGTATTTCCATCAGCGGAAGAGTCCAACAAGTTTCCACATCTCTCCTAGATTGCCCTTGGCCGGGGGCCGATTCCATGTCGCCACACTTGCGGCAACCAGACTTCATGTACATGGATATGTAACACAGACATGTCAGTGAAAGCATTTCAGCTTCCCAGACAACATAATTACTAATTACCAATTCGAGAATGCAGTAATTAAAAATTAAGCCTGCAGTGTTGCAAAATGCAAAATTATAAATTGGCATGCAAAATGATTAGGGGCAATCTGGCACGCATGTCGTCGGGCATCAGAAAGGCTCTACAAAGCTACTGGACACCCTAAACCGAAACAAAGAGCAAGCCACGCTGAACAACCAAAGTCCCAAAAGGAAAGTGTAACAACTAAAGATAAGAAGATATCCTGAACAAGTAATCTGAACTAGCGAAGCATTGCCCTGAGAATGTCGCTTCCCGATGCCTGTTGGGCCGGGAGCGGTGTTATCAAGAAGTTCGGCTGGCGATTGTCACCTCCGATGATGAGCTGCGGAGTTTGCTGCGCCGGTGTCATGGCTCCAACATGCTCTGCTAGACGAAGCTGGATTCCCTGAGTCGAGCTGGCCCCCTGATTCTGCTCCATCTGCACCGGGATCACTGTGGGTGCTGGTTGTGGAGGAAGCCCTTGAGGTCCCAAGGATACCGGCGGGGTGACTGGCTGACTCATGGGCGCCTGAGAGGAAGAAGAGGGTGGACACGAATCTGTCGTCTTCTCCTGTGGAGGTGGTTTTCGATGTGGCAACTTCGGCAGCCTCGAGAGGATCTCTTGCAATATGGGCATCTCGCTCTGTAAGGCTTCCAAGCCAGAGCGCATCCCCACATCTGTTTCGGCTTGTTGATCAACCACTCCAGAGACCAATTGTTCAACTCTCACCAACCTGTCTTCACAATTCTGGATGGCCTCACTCGCCGTTGTAAGGACCTGCTGGGCCTCCTGAGAGGCCTCACGGCCTGCATGGACCATATCTTGGAGGCTCTTTTGCATGGCTATTACTCCGCCTTGGCCACGGATGAGGGAATGGCTGTCCGTGATGTTCTTAATAATCCA